CCCACCCCCCTCCCCCCAAACACACACACACACGAGCAAAACCACAAAAGAGGTGCTAATTGACAAATTTACAAATGTTTGTMACTGGGGGTATACGCTATACCCCCAGACATACCAACGTCTCTTATAAATTTGTCAAATTTGTCAGTTTTCTCGGACGATATAACACCTGATATAATGAATATTTGTAGGGTTACTAAAATAAAGGTGCTCTTTACAGTGCTGATATTGGATTTTCACTCAGTTTATTTTGAACTCATTCGAATTTGCGGCCGCTATTTTGGCAAAGGGACTATTAGGTGTACGTATAGTTATTTTGAGTTTTTTTATTATTTCCAGGTTGGCGTTCCGTGCCAAACTCCTCCATTCACGGTTAATATGTGCGTGCCCCWTCCTCCAGTTATCTCTTATGCCTTCAATAGTACGTACTTGTCCAGTAACCTCACCATGGTAACGGGATATTTCAATATCGGTTCATTTCAAAAAGGAGACAATCAGTATTTTACCAACGACCTGTTCAAGGGATGGATGAAAAGGCTGTCAAAAATACGCAACTTTATGGTGATATTTGTGGAGGATAACATAACCGATGCGATATTCAGGGAACAGAGATCTCATCTTCCTTCTAGCTTTACAAAAATAATACATATCACAAGATATGACCTTTGGGGGTTCCAGATAGAAAATATTACAAAAAAGATTTACGAAGCTCCATGCTATCCTAAGTTCCATCCAAACACAGTTATAGCTTCGTATTCCTGTGTTATGCATGTTAAGTATGATTTTATGAGAATAGCGGTGCAGAAAAATTACTTCCAAACTAAATATTTTAGTTGGATTGATATTGGATACTTTAGAGACGAACCGTTGAACGGCCCACCGTTCTCGCTTGGTCTTCCAAAAAAATTCAATGAAGAAAGAGTAGCGTATACCGAGGTATACTCATGGCAAACCAACGTGAATTGCAAAGATATTGTCTTCAAGAACTTAGTTTGGGTAGGGGGAGGGTATTTTGTCGGTAGAGGTGACGTCATGCTTGCATGGGTGACGCAATACCAGTCTTACGTGTACAATATGTTACATTCTGGATTGATGAGTACGGATCAACAGGTGATATACTGTATGTTTAATACAAGGCCACAACCTTCTAGTGTTAAGATACAAGTGTACAATGCACAGGAGAAGTACCATGACTGGTTTACACTGGGATATCTCAGTAAGAGGAACAGGTGACCTAGCTTAACATGTCACGTAATAGTCTTCCGCCATCTTAGTTATAGATAACAAATGCAAACATCATTAATAGACCACTTGCATGTGACGTAAAAGGAGCTCAATCTGGAGGACAAAACAAACAAATTAAAAATCTCCTGAGAATTGGAAACATATTGTGATTTTCTCTAAATTGAGCTGCATCTCGACGTGCTGCAAGGACTTTTCCCAAGATAACACCGAAGGCACATGTACGTGCCAAACCCTCGGTTTGGATACATATTTCACGCTTGTTATGACGTAAATGGATGATTAAACAATAATACTAATTAGGAAAGATATATACAAACACATATTTTTAACAGTTTACTTTAATTAGTTTATTATATATATTACTCTTAATGTTCACTAGTACAGTTTATAGTATTCATAGTTATAGGTATATCAAGAATTGATGGGTTGTTGCAAGTATTCCCGCGAGAGTTAAAATACAAAGGAATGGCGGCCATTGTGGTGCGGTTAACACTAGATGCTAATAATAAAACTTTTGTTAAATGCCGCCAACGTACGTTCCCAAAGAAACTACGATGACGTAACGTGCAATCGAAGAATAGTGTTATCATTTACTTATATCATAATGGTCCCCTTCACACCTCCCTGCGCCATCTTGAAAGGTAGGTGCGCGTTGCATCAATGCGAGACGAACAGTGACGTCGCAATGATAGAGACATGTGAATAATTGTCCAAATTGTTAAAAAATGGTCCCTATCATTACAAACAGTCTTGTTTCGATGCAAAGACACGGCTACCTTTCAAGATGGCGCAGGAACTGCGAATGGGACTATCAAGAAATATGATTGACTGTTCAGAAAATTCAATCAGGGTTTTGAAAAGACGTGTCGCGATGCAACGGTTATCGCTGATTTAAGAAATCAAAAACCGCAAGAAAAGGAAAGTCCTTCTAGTTGAAATGTTATTCTGCCACTCG